AAGGTTTGCTTCTTTTCCTACATCTTATAGCTTTAAAAAGCTTTCAGGAAAAAAAGAAAAAAAAACACAACCCAAACACCCACAATCAACTGGTCCCTTGTGGATGTATGTGACTTATGTGTAGCTCTTTTACAAAAAAAGTCTTGCAGCAAAAAAAATCTAATATGATTAAAAAAGGGGAGGAGAAAAAAATGTCACAAAAATATTAAAGAAAAACTAAGTTGTATATATGCAGGTTTAACCCCGTCATATCCAGCCCTGCTAGAGGTGAGACATGCTGTTCACAGCCCCTGGCAAAGAGAAGGGTAAGGCTTATCCTGCCACTTAAGACTGGTGTGGAGAGAGGCCTGAAATGGCATTTTGGTGCACTCCAAGGAGGCTGTAATTAAGGATTATGTAATGAACAGAGGTGGTGTTTGATGTACCAGAGCAGTCTGTTCTGTGAGCATCTCGTTAGCCATGGAAGTGCTGCAAACATCTTATGGACAGAGCTTTATTTCATTTCTGTTTCTTTAGCCTAAAAAATGAAGCTGTATACAGGGAAACCAAGTACATGCCTCATGGACAAGAGAATAATAAAGGAACATGTGTGTGAAAAGAAAGATAAGATAAAGCACAACATGTTCCTGCAGAATCTGGCAGCGGAAGGACAACGTGGAAGCAAAATCGTTTGCTGACAAACTAGAAAGACAAGGTTATTGATACCTCTGAGAAAATACTCCCACCACAAGAAACTGGAGCCTCAAATCCACTTGGCAGACAGATGGCACTGGGATTGTTTGATACCTGATGGAAAAGCTTAGCACTGACTTTTCCCATGCCAGCCATTTCCACCACACTTATAAATAAGTGTGTACCACAAGCTTTGTTCCCAAAGAGTCATATACACCACATGGGTTCTGCAGAAAACATCTGCTGAAACAGTTGTAAGCAAAACTTGAACAGTCTTTATTCCAAGTTGTTTTCTTCGGGCCACTGGTCTCTCACTCCAGCTGCTTTGGCAATGGCACCTGGACAAGGACAGTAAGTATTAGGAGGAAGCAATTTCTCAGTCTTATTTCTCAAACCCATTTCGTTTAATACAAACCTTCAGAAACTGTAAAAAAAATACAACAGCTGGGAGCTCTAAGGAGCTCTGGTTGGGAATTTATTTTGTTTGTAATTCCCCGCTTGCTGTTTGCAGTAAATCAATTTGCAAGCAACGAGTCCCACCATGGAGCAAATAAACATGCAGCTTGGCTGAAGCAGTAAAACCCAATTTTAGAGATGAAGCTCAGGATATCGAGGCAAATAAGGAGTTTCCAAGATCACACAGGCAGGTGAGAATAAAACCCTAATGCCCCAAATCCAAGTCCTTTGGCCCAATGACCGAACAAAAAAATTCCTAAAAAAACACCAAACAAAAAACAACCCCCAAAACTCCAACACGTGTGTCCGTAGCTTCACCTCTCCATGGCTGTGACAGCAATTGTTATCTGGCCCATTTAGGATGGGCCATGAATTCATCCCTCTGCCCCAAACCCCACAGCTCTGCTTTATAAAAAACCTCCTGAGGATTCACGGGGGAATGGCTGGGGTGGGTTCACTATTGCTCCCTGGCAACTGGCAGCACCTGAGATTTTTAATAATTGCTGTGCAAAGCGAGGGCTGTGCCTAGCAGAGCACCAGTGCCATCATCCTCCATCTTTCTGAGCAGGAGGGGAGGCAGCAGACCCAGCGGCAGCGATGGACCAACCTTGGTCATCAACCATCTTGGCATGCACAGATAAACTGTGACCTTTACAAGAGGAGGTTTTGTCATCTTAGACATGGCACCGAAATGTAAAGCCTAGACTGAGACCTAGAAAGGCCAGAAATCCCCCGAGGAGAGACCTTGGCTGCAGACAAGACAGACTGGCCAGCAGAAACCACAGCCCCAAAACTTGGTTTGGGGGCAGTGATGTTAAACCTGGACCAGGGTAAGAGGTCACTGCAGGACCTGCCCCTGCCAAAATTTCAGGACAAACTACTCTCTCTAGAATTACGTGGGGAATAATTATTTCTGTGTAGGTATAAACGAAACCAAAATGTGTCCCACTATATGAAAATGTCAACATTAAACAAAATCTGAATTACAAAATACTACTTGATGTTTTTAATTGCAAAAGGATTTTCTGTCCTCTTTCTCTAGCCTTAGCAACACAAACACACTCATCAACATCACTAACTACAAATAGATCAGTCAGCTTTCAGTATTTCTTGAATAATGGTAAAATGCAAAGAAATACAATGTTTCAGGGAAGCAAAAGGTTAAATCTGGTGGCCAGCATTTTGAGAAGTGGCCCACGAATTTGGTACCCAAGTAAGAGCATCAG